TTAGGATTATCTCAAGATCTATTTTTATATCTAGTTATAAAATTTTAAATTTAAAAAAATGGTTAAAATCAAGTAGATCAATAAACATATGAAAATTTTGAAAATGGACGGTGTAGATAATATGTTGTAAAATGCACTATTTTTGAGATTTTTATTTTTCATAGTCATACATCTCGATGTCAAGCTGATCAATCAAAGGGTTTTTCAACATTAAAACTACCTTTTTCGATGGATTTTTTAGGGGCATCTGTAGTTCTACATTATAAGTTAGCATCCTTATATAAACTTTTTTCCATAAATAAATAGCATTTTACTAGAATGTACAGTGGATTTCACCAAAAGTTTATGGCCATAGTCTTTTTGGTGTATGGAAAGCCATCAACTGCTACCTCCATTGCCATCAATTCATTTTAGTTAAGTTTAGGGGGAATTAAAGCTTCATCAATCTTGGCAATAGTGATTATTAACACGTTAGTAGTAAAGATGGGGCCATGCATTTTAGGGAGAAAGGAATTGAATTGAAATTCTTTTGGACATTTTGGAAGTGCATTTTCACTGGTTTTCATGATTAGGTGGAAACAAATTTTATGAGCTTTGCCAAGAACATATATTTGGTGCGTTTTTGTTAATGGTTTTGGTATGAACTGGTTTTTGGTTTATGCTGGAAATGGGTTCTAAATAAATTTTTTCTGGAACACATGGATAGTGTGATTTCGCACATTCACTCGGTAGGAGTTATATTTTAGTTCATGTTTAAAACAAGTTGTATGAAATTCATCATATACCAATTGATATAAGAGATTACTAGTTTATCTTGGTTTGATATTTATTTGCCATTGTTATTGGGTCAAATAAATAAAGAAAAGTAGATTGAGAAATTGAGATATTGGAGTAGACCTACTATAAGATGAAAGCTATATCAATCAAAGAAATATATATTAAGAAATGATAGAAGAATAGATCTATTAAGGAAAAAAATTCTATAATTAATTAATTTATAAAAAATGAATTTCTGAATTCAAATATTTCTATTCTAAATTACATTATAAAATTTCTTGATATTCTATTTATATTATAGAAAAATGAAATTTTAATTCAAATATTAATATTATAAAAAATATTAATATTGTACTTTTAAAATAAAATGAAGTTCTATTTTATTATAATCAAGAGTTATTTATATTTGTTTTATATTATTATTAATCATTTATTATAGAGTAAATTATGTATTACTTATAAAGTAAAAAATGTAATTCTAAGAGTAGTATACTAATAGTCCCCTGGTTACGGGTTTTCTCAAGAGAAAATGGTTACAGGTTTTCTCAAGATAAACAAATTGAAACAAATTAAGCAAGCTATCAAATAGTCCCCTGTTTACGGGTTTTCTGTAAACCAGAAACAAATTAAAATTATAAGATTTGAACCAAATTGAGCAAGAAGTATCACAATTTGGTAAAATGTGAACCAAATTGAGCAAGGCTACCGCATCTACTCCTTTCTGATATTGGGTTCAAGTTTTAATAGTGCCGTCTTTTTGTAAAAAATAAACAAATTTGCCTTTATTATTTGATCAATTCTCTCACTAAACGATAAACAAATTTGCATTTGATCAATTCTCTCACCTCTATTTGATAAGGTGTGTCCCAAATTGAGCAAGGGCTACCACGACCTAAATTGAGGAACCTACCACCTTTACCATTTCCTTATATGATATTGTGCTCATTCAAGTTTTTACCATTTCCTTATATGATATCGTGCTCATTCAGGTTTCCTTATATGATATTGTGCTCATTTACTTTAAGAGCGGCCATTTCCCAAATCAAAGTTTAAACTACCTTGAACTTATATATACGCTTTCGTCAAACTTGAAAAAATTGGGGTTTTATAAAGCACATTTCATGGTATTCTATCTCCTTATTGTATTGTTTTACTTATAACATAGCAATTAAATAACAACAATACTCTTGAAATTATTGTGTTGTTTTATTTAAGAGATAACAGGGTATTTGTCTCCTTATTGTGTTGTTTTACTTAGGAGATAACAACTGAATAGCTACCATACTTGAAAAGAAGAAGAAAAATATTGGGATATAGCTGCAATACTTAAATAAATGTTACAATGTAGAAAGGGAAAAGATTTTATCGGAAAAAAAGAAAAAAAAAATACTGGGATATAGCTAATCACAATGTTCAAAGAGGCTGAAAAAAAAAATCAACAAAAAAAAACCATTTAAGGAATGTGAAAATTATTTAATCACAAAGTTGGGATAGTAACGACTTACCCAAAAAAAACAAAGTTGGGATAGCTAAATAATAGGAGAGAGAGTCACAAAGTTGACAACTGAGATAACATGATGGTTATTAAGATGAATGAGAAACAAAGTTGTGATAGTTAGATAACATGAATAAGAGATAGAGATAGATAATATTATGAATATGAGAGATGATAAGGTTGGAATACTTGCTAGGTAATATAAGAGAGAGGGGTTTTTAATTTCAGGGGAGAGAGGAGTGTTTTTAATGAGAAATGGAGGTTTTAAAGAGAAGGGATTTAATTTGAATGCAGAGAAATACATTAAGGGTCATTAATTTTAAAGAGAGAATTTTAACTTGAATTATATACCGCATAATCACAAAGCTGAAATCCCAACTTTATGAGCAACTGGTCGGGTTAGGGTGATATGGGACCTGGACCCGAATTCACAAGACCCATTCCTGGACCCAAGCTCAAATAATATTCGGGTCCAAGATTTGGACCTAGACCCAGCCCACCAAATCCAAGTTTTGGACCCATACTCGGACCTGGATTAGGTTTACCCCGCAGGTCTTTGGTTGGATCTAGGTCCATTGCCACCACATAGTCGTATAGTTAAGAACCCCGACTTTCTTCCACCCTTTGGAGACTTCCCTTGGACCAAGATCTCGTCCCTTGCATGGGTGAGTCACTTGGTCGAGTGGCATGTAGACTCCCCCCAGGTGTTGTGCATGGTTTAGAAGCCTTTAGAAAATAAAATAAAAAATAAAAGTCAAATACAATAAAAAATTCCAAATAAAATGTGGTTTTAAGACAAATTGATTTATATTTAAGATATTTTAAGAAGTCCGAAAAGCGAAAAAATTAAAAATAGGGCACATGGAAAGAGTAGCTCACCATTCTTTGCCAACAATATTTATACACCAATCCCATATTTTTAATGCATTTTTTAGGTTTTTTTTATTTTAATATTTCTTGAGTTCTACTTCCACCTAATAACTGGGTAACTCGGCTCATCAAGAGGGGAGTACCAGTAACTTACCAAGTAGGAGTGGACTCGGTCGGGTCTTGAAACACTACTTTCTTCTATGCATGTGAGGTTTTACATGGTGGGAATTATTGGATTTGGTACTATCCAAAATCACCCACATTAAAAAATCCTGTCGGATTGAGATATTCATATATTATGTGGGATTGAGATTGAGATTGATAAGTTTCCTAAAAGAAATAGAAATCTAAAAGCTTATGACTCTTTAGATATATGTGGAACATCAATAAGGAGTTTTACTTTCTATTTAATATGGACTCCTAACTATATATATATATATATATATATATATATATATATAT